TGGGAAGATTCTTGCTAGAGGTTGTAGCTAATAAATATTGCTGGACTGAATTTACATAGTCTCTTGGAGTTCCTTGGGCTAGGCCTGACATCAATCATGCCAGCCACAACATTGTGAATTCCTCAGGGAGGTGCCAGTCTCATGTATTTCCCACGCTCCTCAGGAGATGAAAGAAAATGTTTTTCTCCCTGAGCCTGGCCTTCATAATTCCATTCCATCACGCCTTCCTCCCATCTCCTGCCCATAGTTGAGACAGCTTAAAGTTGTCCATAGCAGTTTGAGTTTTATTTTCCTTTATCGGATAACTAATATTTCGCGATGGATATAATTTGCTACACTTCATTGGCCATACCGTTATTGGCACAGTCAAGAGTTGGGATCTGTGTAGTTCTGACTTCCATTTTAGGAAGTTGTGGGCACATTCCTTCCCCTCCAGTCATTGGGCAAAGCTGTCCATGGCCTCTTCGGTTTGGACTATAGGAGAGGCTAGACAACTGGTATCCACTGAAAAACCAGCCTACATAATGCTTGCCCTGGTGCTTTCCATACCACCTCTCAGGTCTTACGTGGCTCCTTGTGAAAACAGGTTTCTGTATTACCAGGTGGCTAGATTCCATGCTGCAGCCTGTAAGATTAGGCAAAAAAGCAATATGGAACATTACTTAATTGATTACAATCTACTTTTGCTATCCTGTTACTGATTGATGTGATTATATGATTGACGTTTATTGTATCATGGGAAAGTTATACTGTATTTGTTTAGCATTTACTTGTAAGTTTTTATATCTTTTACTCCTACAAATTATTGTAATGGTATGTGGGAATGACTTTGGGAGGCAGGAGGAAGAGCTGCACTCTAGACAACGGTGTGGTAAACAAAATCAGGAAGAGGAGGGATGGTGAAAGCGTCTCAGAAGGGACCCTCCCTAGTTTTCAGGAGAGTGAAAGTGAGGGAGGGGTACTTTCAGACTTGCAAGATTTTGTTAATGTAAACTTACAATAAAGATAGAGCTAGTAGTCCTGGTAGTGCTTCTTGTCTGGACCACCTTGCAAAGCTAACATCAATCTTGCAAGTCTAAAAGTACCCTGCCTGTTGCTCACTTTTACTTGAGTACGTGTGGATGTCTGTTCCATTTGATCTTAGCCAAACACACACGCGTACACACATACAGAAATATGTCTCATTGATTTCAGTTAGCCCAAAACTATATGAAAGCCCCTTCCTTGGTTTACCCTCTTTATGTTCGGAACTCCACAGTTCTGACTTTGAATAGTTCTCTTCCTATCTAACTGATTGTGCTTCCAGTATTTCCACAGAGCAGTATTTCTCAACCTTAGCAACTCTAAGTTGTGTGGACTTCAGCTCCCAGAATTCCCCAGCCCATGTTCTTTTGAGCTTCCCTCTCTATCTTTGTATCCTTCAGAGTTCCAGAGCTGGCTTTTACTTCTTCACTATACACTGTTATAGAGTGACATGATTAAATCACATAGATTTCACGGCCACCTCTGTGCTGGTAACACTTAGCAACATTTCCACATTCCATTCCATTCCAACTGCTTTTTGAATCTCTGTTATTGCTTCATACTCTGCCTATCCAAGACTGAACCTCCTATATTTCCTTCCAAACTACCTTTTTCTCAATGTTTAATTGCAGCATCACTGTCTAGCCCACTGAAAATGATGTATTTCCATGTCTTTCTTGTATTCTCCATATTTAGAACATTGCCTATTTTTAAGCATAATTTAAGATGCTGATTTTCTATTTTGGGAAACTTGGGTGGAATATTCTATTGCACTTTTTAAAGAACGCTTTATTTTTTACATTTACTTTAGTTGTGCTGTGACTATCCTTTTAAAGATATACAATTCTTTCAAAGGCCTGGTGAGCAAACAATGCTTTAATAAAGAAATAAATAAGTGCACAAGTTTATGATACAACACTTTCTGTTCTTATTTCTAAGGAAAACAGTTAATTAGAATGATTAGGAAGATTTCATCTTTATAACAAATAAAGATCCCTTCTAATCTTTTGCAAGTAAAACCTTTCTTCCAGTGAAGAAAACAGCAACATTTTGTATTTTGTAGTGCATTAAATATGTAGAAGATAAATTTTACATGCATTTACATGTAACAGTTCACAGGTGTGAATGCAAGATATCATTGCATTACATTATGAAAACATTCCACAGATAAAAACATTGAATAAAAAATAAAATACAAATATAAATGACATTTATAAAAATAGTGTTTTTGACCTGCACATATATTCTCTGATCAAGATTTTGAAATTCTTTCACTTAAAACATAAATATTAATAAAATATGTGTTAAAATTATTAAATAAATGGCTTCTATATGAATCCTCATTTCACACATGAAGAAGTTTGTGGTCTTTTTCAGTATCTGTAGCAACCTCTTTATAGTTTTTGCTTGTAGCAAGCCTTTGTTTCTTGTTTAGATACCTGTGAGGGGAAAGGACATCTTTAGAAGAACATAAAATAAGTTACAGACAGTTGGATCTATTGCAGGTCACTGCATTATCTTCTTTTATTTCTTCAAGGTACTAACTTAGGTACTAAGTTAAAAAGGTACTAAATTAAAAAAGCACGGAGAAAGGCAATGGTGTTGATGTGTCAGTGAGATTTCCTCATCTGTCACTGTTCTATGGTATTTACTTTATCCAGAATTCCATTTCTCTGATTTTATTATTTTCTAACTGGAGGATTTCAAAGTTACATTTTAGCACTTCAAGGCATTAACTGTATGATAATTAAAAAATTATCACTGTGATCAGTAACAGACAATGATATCAAAATCTGTTTTCACATCATACAGAGATGCCTTTGCATGAATTTTAAAGAAGGACAGACTTAAAAACTGTAGGAAATTATACATATGTAGTGATTGGAATAAACTCCAGAAATGGAACCAAAATTATGGAAGTCCACTATTAACATCACAATGACTTTCTGCAAACAAGATCAGATCATTCAGACTCTTAAAATCCATTAAAAAAAAAAAAACTGATTTGCTTCTGTCCCTTTCACAGCATCTTGATATGCAGAGGTTTTTCAGGTAAAATGTTCTTTATTGCCAATCTCAGTTCCTTATATATGTGCCTATATGATATGTGTTTGCTAAATTCACTTTGAAGGGTTTGGGGTGTGTACACCTGAAAATACAAGAAGAAATGCAACAGCTTTGTCCTGTTATTTGAATAAAAACTGTGGAATCCTTAGAATCCCATCAGTAAAAGTGTTGCTTACCTTCTGTAGAAGTATATTGATAATAAAATTGCAATGAAGAAAAATAGACACATAAGAATAGTAAATGCCAAGTATTCGTTGCTCAAGGGCTGTTTGACGAGATCCAGATTCGAGTGGCTACATCTTTCACCAATAAATCCCTCGTTACACCTAAGGGAGACAGGAAAGAAGTCAACATTAGACATACTGCCTATTTTCTAGTATCAAATAAATTGCAAGCTGAGACTACAGTCAAAGATGAAGCACTACCCCAGAGTACCTACCAAAGCACTGGATTATAGTCACTCCATTTTGGTAGAGAATCGTGATGACTGAACTTCTGAGAAAGGGAACAGATTTATTGGTGTCCTCAACAAACTACGATTCCCAAAAATCTTTTAAGACATAGGCTCCCAAACTTTCTCAGTTCATAGCACCCCTAGATGATAGGAATTTTAATCTAATTAATCTAAAAGTCACCAGGTTGTGGAAGGCTGTTTTTAAATATGTATCTGTTATGAACAAATAAATGAATGAGGAGCCGTTAATAGCCTTGATTGATGATTATGTGCCATCGAATTACCATCAACAGGGACCCTAGAAGAGTTCAGAGCCAGCTATAGTTCTCTGTTTTGTTGCACTTTAACATTTAAAAAATGTTGAAAGACCAGATTGGGGAGAAGCCTTCCTAGAGAAAAATCGATCGATGTGGTCACTAAGAGTCAGTGCCAATTCAAAGGCACATAATAATCAATCAAGATGATCAACAGTTAATCTTTCAAGTGTTTCTACACTTTTTATGCAGTAATTTGTACAAGCAGTGAGGAGAAAGACCAATAGCAAGAGAGAATGTGAACAAAATATTCCATAAGTTCTGTTCTGTTCCAGGGCCTCTAACAGCAAGTTTCTAGGCAGAAATTAGAGAAAGCCTTTCTTGGTAGGGAGGTGAGCATAAAAGCTTCTGAATTTCTATGTCTTCAAGGCAGAGGAACAGAGCAGCAACTTAAAAAAAAAAGTGTGCTTACTCAGAAAGCATCATCATCATCATCATCATCATCATCATCATCATCATCACCATCACCATCATCAATTATATTGTTGTCACCACCACCGTCACTATCACTTCCACCCTTTACTTCACAGGATCTCTTTTACCTGCAGTAATATCGTTCCAAAGTCTCCGAGTATTTGCATTCTCCATTGAAACAGAAGCTTTGCCATTCAGGCTTGCATTCTGTCTGTTTTCCCGTCTGAGTTACAGGTAGAACAGTTTCTGTTTGAATGACAATAAATAGATGCATGAATAAAAGCTAACCTGCATTATTATCTGTGAGGACATGGCTTCCTTCAGTGATCAAGCACATGCCAGGTAGGGTGACCCTACGAGACTCTAGAAAGCTATGGTGTCAACCATCCTGGGCAAAATGGATCCTTACTTTAATTTGGTGTAATGCATCTTTCTCTGTGTTTACTTTGACCTTCCTCATCTCTAGAGTCAATTTATTTTAATGTTAAGGATAAAACTTTTTGTTCCTTATTGTGGAATGGCAGAAGGCCAAGGCCAGATGGCATAGTGGGAAAGATCTTTTGAATTAGGTCTGGGAAAATCCAGGCTCGGCTAGGAATATATACAGCCCAGATTGATGCTTCTTCTCAGTCTAACCTACTTCACAGGATTATGATGGGGATAGAATGGTAGGCATAAAAAAAAGCAATATAAAATATTTTATATAATGATATCCTTCCATTTCAAGATGTCCAGTTTTTAAAGAAAAACCCTCAAAATCCAAATGATATTTTTCATTGGAAAAACCATACATAAGTACTTGTCAGTGAGAGATAAACAGAATAGGTAGAAAGACAGACAGATATTAGCTTATTAAGAATTTGTTCTGGATACATAAAAAACACAAAACCTTTTATTTCAACGTCTGGATACTGCAAGGATTCCAGATTTAATATGGCCATTTCATACTATTGGCCATTTAGAGCACAATGCACCTGAAGTATTTCCTGCAAAAAGTCTGCTGGAAAGTGGAGTGGAAGCTGTCTAAGAATTCACAAAAGTTTGTTTGTTTGTTTAAGCAATTCATATGGCTGCCCAATTTACCCATGGTGACTCCGAATGGCTTACAGGAATAAAAATCCCAAATACAAAACCCACAGTTTCCATGGATACCTTTAAGTAGTCAAATACTCTACAGTCAAAAATTATGTATTTAGTGCCATCCATTTACCTGGCACTTTACATTGGAAGATGTTACAGAAACAAGACTCAGAAACAAATCTCAACCCCAAGGAAATGCAGTTTACTTTTGACAGAAGGGAGATGGTGTTATGATGGGTGCAAGAGTGTCAAGAAGCAGAAAAAATGCAAATGCAGTTAAGAATGCTGATAGTACTCATTTATTTTATTCATTATCTGTGGCTAATGTTCTGATATTTTACCGAATACTAGAGAATCATCTGACTTACCTACAGTAGTTGTACAGTTTTCAGTCTTATTTACTCCACATAACGGGATCACTGTTGTACTAAGAGCAGTTTGAACTAGGTGCCATCCTAAAAAAAAAAAAAGTCTTAAGAGAAGTAGACACTTCCAGAACAGTTTCCATTTCATCAGTGTTCATGCCACCTTATTTCAGCTCAAAGGCTGGCACAACAGGATGTGTCATCTATGCCAAGCTAGCCCTGCCAGTAATTATTAACACCAACTATGCACTTCATCCTGAACTAGAGTTGATTCACTTTTAGGTCATTTGCACTCTCTCTGATGCTGTCTCTCTGTAGTGAAAGTGCACACACGTGGGCATGCCTTTGGGAACCATGATCTGTCATGATTTCCTGATAGATCTCCATTGCCTTTTTCAACAGATTTACAAATATGTATTTTCACTTCATATTTTCTTATTGCATATATAGAACCACTTGAAATAGTAAAAAAGAAGCTCTGTCAAAAATGAATCATTACTCATCTTTGAGAAACCCACATAATTTATGTCAGTATGGACATAATTACAACTGATTAGATTTCTCAAATATTATGGTAGTAGAATGTATTGAGCACCATCCTTCAGTACCTCAGAGATGCGAGCAGATATAAATCTAAAACTCAGTATGTCAGTTGGAATACACTTTTAAAAATCTGGGTCTTGATTCTTAGAGATACATATAGGTAAGACATTCAATGGAAAAAGACATACTTTTTGAGAACTCTAGCACATTTTCAAAGTTACCTCGGATCTGTTCTAAAAGTTTTGATTTCAAGCTACACCCAAGAAGAAATTTATGTCATTATCAGTTCCTTTAAAGTTACAGGGCAATTTCCCTCAAACTACTTTTCCCCAATTTGTTGGTGTAAAACACCCGTCATCCACAGCCAGACTGAAGCCCACTTAATCAGTCATTCAAGAAAAAGAGTTGGAGAAATAGAGCAGCAGCAACAGCAGAAAAAAGACAAGCGAGCCTTTCCGTTACAAAACTTGTTACTATGCGCTAGCCACCCAGAAGGCACCTCCTAAACTCTGTTCAACTACACTGTCCAAATACACCTCCTATTACCTGCCCAACCAATGGGGAAGGGGCCACTGATGTCATGATGCCTTTTCTGTATTCTCCAGACACAAAGGCTTGAGGAATATCAGACAAATTTGAAGGAAGTGGGCAGGATTTCTGTACTCTCCACAATATTGGCTCTCGACCCAGTAAGCATGATTAGGTGTTACCAGAACCACTGGTATGGAAATATGCCTGGGTCCACGGGGGATGTTAAGCACATTTTGTGAACAAACTTATTTATGGAAATTCCATTGGTGGGCTAAAAGGACAGTCCAATATACTGCAGAAATCTGGTGAAAAATGGACACGTTTATCTAAGGATTGGGCTTTTATCTTCTCAAAAATGGGACATGTTAGAATTTAGGGGATGCTGCCAGTTAATATGATAGGTAGATGGGGAAAATATTTAGGATTAGAGGGCAATGTGGGTGGGTGGGGGCAGTGAAAGGAAAAAAACCACTGGTTTTGAAACTCATAGTCCTGCAAAAATAGATGTAGCGGTTGCTGCCGAGGAAGCAGTAAATGCTGTGGTTCAACATTTTCCCATAATCTCTTATCTGTTTTGCATCTGTATCTCAGAGCTATTTTCCTAAGCCATTTTGCTCCCTATTTTTCTAGTGACGTCAATAAGAGGGCAAAGGAGATTCCGTATGCGGGTAAGGTATTTGCACTGCGGAGCAGAAGGAACTGTCACTCCTTTAATCATTACCCAGCAAAAAAACCCCAGGCAATATTGCTCTCATAGCTCTCAAGTGCATTCAGGGTATTAGTTGAGGAGAAGGTGGGGTTTATTCACATTAATACGACTGCCTGGGTCATTACGCAAATATTGTTATCTTCTTTGTAAGAGAGATGGCAGCAACTTAATACTAACTTATTAGACTATAATGGTTATTTTTACTATCATGCTGGTAGAATATGAATGCAACACACTTTCTTGCTTTTTTGGAAGGCTAACATTGCTCTGTCTTGAAAACAGATTGTACCAGAATAAGGCACTACTTATTTCTGCAATTATTAAGGTAAAAAAAAAAAACTTTGCTAAAAAGCACAGTGAGTTTAGGGATAGTGTTCAAGAAATACTTTCTCCAATTCAGCCAAGATTCCAGTTCAAGATTCACCTGGATTCCAGATGGAGCCTCTGAAAGCCTTGCCACTGCCTGAGCACAATGCTTTATCTTCATCTTATAGCCACCTCTTAAAGGAATGTTTGCTCTCTCAAGCTCAAGGATTTTGCTCACAGCCACCAAAACTCTTCCTCAGGCCTCTGCCTCCTTTACCTGTTCTTTCCTCATTTCTGCATCTTATTCCACTGCATAATTTTACCTCTTCCCTTCCATCTTCCTATCTCTGGGTCTTCTATGCTTTGGGTAGCTAAAGTTCTGGGGTTCCAATTCACTAATCAGATTTCCAACCCTTCACCTGCTTTCTTCAGTAAGGCCTAGATGAGGGTTTAATTTCAGCCAACTTTTCCTTCTACTTGCAACCAAATATTTATTATGCAGCCTAAATGTTTATTCCTTGAAAGTTGGGATGTTTGTAGTCAATATACCAACTTGACTCATCACTACTCAGTTTTAATGTCATACGCCCACTACCATATACTGTACATTCTTGTGCTTATGGACGGATTCCAACACATTTGGAAGGCACCAACCTGGCCATACTTATTAACTCAGTAGATTGTGGTTGGGTCCCAAAGACCTGTGCAATCTTTCATAAAGGGGTCTAACATTTTTTCCTCTTTGAACAGCTTATGATCCCAATTCCATTGTCTGTTGCAGCCTGCTTTGGAAATGTCTTTTTGATTGGCCATGGGAGAAGGGTGGTTACTATATTTAAAAAAAAAAAAAGACTTGGGAGAGACAGTACTGTGCTGCTGGAACTCTTTGCACTACATTCTGGGAATAGATCTTTCCATGCAACAACTTTCCCAATCTAACTTTTCATATGTGTTCAGTTTGCAACTTCCAAAATTCCCAGCCACCACTGGCATTGTAGTCCCAATTTACAGGAGAACCCCAGACTAAAGAAAAGTTAAATCACCCATTTCTAGACTCATTACAATCAAATTTGTGAAGATTTGTAGAGGACAATAGAGGTGGTGGTGCAAGCAAGGAGAACACCACATTCTTGAACATTGAGAGAAAAAGGCACTGATCCAACCAACCACGCACTTAAATTTTGAATGCATTCATGTCCTTGGCGTCAGCAATTCCAAACTAGTTTGGGAACTGTAGCCAGAAGGCAGGCTCTAACAGGAATTCTCTTGCCCAAACAGTGTCTTTCATGAGCAGACTGTGCAGAACAAAGTTCTGCAACTTATGCCAGGATGATGACCCACATTCCTTTAAGTTATATGTTGCTATAAGATGCCCCAAAACTATTCCCAGTAGTTGTATAACATGCTTAGCAGCACTCTTATATCATCAAGAATCCCTTTTCCTCCTGCCTACATTTCATATGTTGGCTCAGAATATTGTATAATGGCTAGAATTAAAATGGTGGAGAAACTACTTGTACTGGAGTAAAAAAACAGAAACTGAGCACCTCCTGTTGAGACGGGTTTGGCAGATGAAGAAAGACCTGCCCTATAATTAGGAGATGAAATTACTGACTGCATTTCTTTGAGAAAAGCCCAGAATCACTAGGCAGAATGTGACAATTAAAGCAACTCAAAACAATTCTTGGGCCACCGAACAACTCAGTTAACAAATCTCTTACCAAAAGAGTAGAGGAGTTGACTTAGGCAATCTGTACTTCCAACACATGATTGCAGTTCTTGGTAAGTCCATTACTTCCTTAATTTATATTATACTAAGGAACACATTTTAAAATTGGAGTTGAATGTCTATAGCAAAGGATCACAGAATTGCTGAAATTCAGTTTCTATGACTGATGGGTTAGGCTAGTAAATTGCCCTGAGATTTTTCATTCAATTTTAATTAAAAATTAATTAATGAAACAAAGTTAATTGCCTTGGTCCTTCTGTATTTAATAATTTCATTCATTATCAATTTTAAGGTTAGAAATGAAAAACTCTTGGAGGGTTTCTGGAAGCTGTACTCTGAACTACTGGAGACTACATGAGATGCTGGGTTCTCTAGGTTGTACACTCCTGGCTTAGTATGATATGTGAACCCTAGCTATGAATGTTTATGGCCTGAATAAATTCATTTTTTAACACAAAAACCATATTCAGCAAATCTTAAATATGAGTTGAAGCACAGACATACTGCTGGCTAGGAGTATCACCAACTGTGATCCTAAGGAAACGTCACAGACCTTGACTCTCTCACCAATGATTTGCTGATATATAGAACATACTATTAATACACATAACTGGAGATTGCTCGGAAACTTTCACTGATACAGAGATTAGGATGTATAGTCAGCATGATGAGGAGAGCTGACTGTTCTGATCTTATTAGACTAATTATACATTAACTGCAATGGCTACCAGTTGCTTTCAGGGTCCTATTCAAAGTGATGTCATAGACTTTTAGAATCCTTAATGGTTAAGGCCAAATTACTTAAACTATGACCAAAAGCATATGAACTTGTTTTAATTTCCCAAGCAACCATGGAGATCCTGCATGAGTGACTGCCAGGAAGGATAGAGGTCAACAAGTATGAGATACGGGGTCTTTGGTGGGGGTCTAATTCTTACCTTCAGGACCTATGATTCTTATACCTCCACATTTTTTCTTAGCCAGGTGTTACTCCAAAAGAGTGATTAGAGGCTTAATTATTCTAACTTTCTCATCTCAACCTCCTCATCAGGCCAGTGAAAATGCTTTGCAGAGCAATGTGGGGCTTGAAAGAAAGGTCAATCAGATTTGGGCTGCCAAGATCTGGATGACCACTAGATGGCAACAAGGACTCACCATCTGCTGCCATCTAGAGGTTATATGGAATTCTGCATTCTAGACCTGGTAGCCCTTTTGAAAGAGAAGCTATATTTAACCCAATTAACCAAAAGAGGGTTAGCTTTAATCCCAGCCAAACCTAATCTTGTTTGTAGCTAATCTGCCTCTCCAGTCAGCTACTTGTCAGAAGACTAACCTACACTTTTAATTCCATGATCAAGATGAAGTCCTAAAAGAGAACTGGGAAAGCAGGGTTTCTCAAGATATTTTCAACCTTCCAAGACATCCTCAGGAGAGTAGATGGCTGGGTTAATTAAGCTGTTAATTAAGTTCATGAATTCAGTTCCCCTCATAGAAGATGTCTGCTGTCCAATTTTGGTGATCCCTTCCTGTCTCCTTCCCCAGCAATATAAACCATCAATTCATCTTTTGGGGAGTTGCAGAAAGAAAAGGTAGAAAATCTATTTTTGCTAGGCCAGTTGCATGAATCTTCTATATATATATCCAAGCCTTGTTAATGTTTTAAGACCATGCCAAAATGGCTTGCCATGAAATGGTATGATCTTATAGTTTTATTTATTATTGCACTCTCTCAAAAGTTAGCATTTTTTAAAAAGTGAATTTGGTTGAAGCTGGCCATGAACTGCAAGAATCCTCTTCTGGGCCAGGTCTGCAAAGTGCAGCCCCTGGATCCTCAGGCACATGTTTCTCTCCCTTGGGCCCAGCCAGAAGTATCTATCTCATCACCCTGAAAACACCGGCGCTGGCCGCACAGCCAGCATCTTTTCTACCTCTGTGACAGAACTTCTGGGCATACCTAGCAAGAAATTCTGGTAGTGGCAGGATCCATAAGCACACTTAGCACCTGGCACCCCAGCACCTAACCTCAGCATAACTGTGCCCCAGCAACATCTCTGCCTGCCATATCCCCATGGCATTAACTTCGTGTTGTCCCCAGTGTGTGACTGAGACGTATCAGTGTCTGCCTTTGGAGAAGTTAGCTCCGTTCCTTGGAAGGGGAGTTAAGGGACTGGGAACGGAGGCAACAGAGGCAGGACAGGATCGGAAGCAGATGCGGGCTCTCGTGCCTTTCGCCTGCGCCGGGCGGGGGCGTTCGCGTCGCTGGGCAGCGGCTGGGGCGAAAAGGAGGAAGGGCGGCTTACCCACGAAGAGCAGGGAGCCTCCGAGGCTCTGAGAGCTGCAACCGGCCATTTGTCCACCGTCGCGGAGCAGGCGGTCTTCGAAGCCGGGCGGTTTTTCACGCGGAGCAGAGGACGGACGCCCGGTTCCTGCTGGCCGTCAAAGGCTGCCTTTCCGCTCCGACCGGCGCGTCTTCCCATTTTATAGCCTCCCGATCCGGGGGCGGGTGGAGGCCAGGCCCAGGCAAACGGCAGGGGCAGTGAGACGGCGAGCGTGGATATGCAAAGCGCTTGAATTTCCCCGCTGACGAAATCGCGGCTAGAGGTGTCTTTCCACCGGC